CACGCGCGCAGTGCACGCATGCGTACTAGCATCTGTGCGATGCTCCAACTGCTCCTGGAGGATCGTGCAGGCTCTGTATGCATCCTGCACATGCGCATGCGTGGAAGCACAGAACTCGTCAAAACCGGGTAAGGAGCATGGGTGGGCCCTTCGACGTTCCCGGAAGTTACTTACTTCCAGGTTCTCTGACCAACCGGTTCGCGGGGACCGCCGCAAACCGGTTGAAACCCACCCCTGACTTCTACCATCAGGTAGAAGACATCAAAGTACAGCCAGCCGAACAAACAGGTTTAAAGATCGTTTCTATCCTTGGGCTGTGAGACTTTTAAATACAACCACAATCACTCCATGCACATACTAGTTTTTTTCTTTTTCTTTCTTTTTTCATTTCTGTTATAATTTGCACCAGTGAGGTTAAAACCAATTTCGTTGTATTGAAGTACGATGACAATAAAGATTATGCTTATACCTAGTGAAGTATACACTCCTTATTTTGGTTCTGAACAGTGTCACACAAACTCGGCCAGACAGAGTGGCTCCCTGTCTCCGAATTTTTGCCTTTAAAAAGTCTAGAAACCCTAAAGGAAAGAGAGATGGAAGACATGCACCAGCCTGTTGTGTTGGCAACTTCCAGCTGCTGTTCATCTCCTGGACACATTATTACATGCCGTGAGATGATCAGGGCAGGGAATGTGGGTCTGTCATCTAGGATTGATGTGTTGTTGGAAAGAAAATACCAATTCCTGCAAAGAGATGGTGGAAGAAGAGCCTCTTACTTCATGAGCTTCGAGTCTCTTATTTCACAGGCTTCAACATACCAACCCATTGCAAGAGAGGCAGAACTGACAGTGGGCTGACTGGCAGCTACAATAAAGCCCAAGTGATATTTCTGCATCTCTAATGTAATTTCTATGCATGCATCTAAAGCAGGGGTGGACTTCAAAAATTTCAGCAACCGGTTCTCTGCCCACTTGCTGGGTGGGCGTGGCCTGGTGGGCGTGGTTTAGTCAGCCTCCTACACAGGGTAGCATTGTACTGTTACATCACAAACTCTACCCCTTTGGACATGGGTGAAACATCATGATGTAGATTCCATAAGGTCAGGGCTATTGTTGCAAAATTGCTTTTTTTAAAAGACTGACCTACCGTATTTTCCTTCCTACAAGTCCAGGATCAGCCAGCTCTCTTCTTCTCCTGGCAGGCTAAATAAATAAGCAAATAAATAAATGAGATGGGTAAGAAAGCTGATTCCCTTACAAAGATGTATGGGTCTGTTTTATATGACTTTATATGACTGTTGTGTGTTTTTAAATTATGTATTGTTATGTTTCGTCTTTTATTTTTTGTTTGTACCCCACTTCCCTGATTTGAATTGTGAGCCGCCCTGAGTCCCCTTCGGGGGAAAAGGGCGGCATATAAATATAATCAAATCAAATCAAATCAAA